GGGTAACACACCAGTAAGTAATCACATCTTGACAGAAGTGCATGCTAGGAGCAAAAAATGAGTACGGAATTGTCAACTATTTTGCAATATTATATAATAATGTATATAACACAAGTCATAAGCAGTACTATGCTGACATGGAGAGGAAATATACATCAAAAATATTTCCAGATTTCACTTAAGCTTTCTTGTAAAACTGTAATGTTATCAAAAGCTATCACAGCACATCATCAGTTCAAGTTAATGTCCTGGACTGTAATATCCTGTTTTAATGGCCTTCATATTCTCTCAGCAAGCATAATGAATATTTTTTATCTTTACTACCATTGCTTTTTCAGTATTTTCACGTAAAGATTATATAGCTTAAACTCAAATATGAGGCATTAACATCAATATTAAGAATACCTACGATAAGAACAGCATCCTGCTGGGTTATCCAAGATAGTTCTGGTCCAGGAGGCACTTGTGACTCGAGCACTTTGATGCAGTTCACGAAAGCATCAGCGCTGCCCGCTCCGCACCCAGGGCTGCCCCCTCTGCACCCAGGGCTGCTCTTCAGCTACGCACCCACCTTCGTCCAAAATGCTCGAGTGCCCCAAGAAAAGATGAGGTCCCTGCTACACAGCTGCCACGTAGACACATGGAGGTACACAGACACCAAACTTAAAGCCACCAGATCTCTATCTTGACATTTACTGTAGACTCTAAATTACACAGCTCTCACTCCTAAAACGAAAGGATGCATCTGCCCGCTGCTAACCAAAACATTGCGACCATTATCAGCACACCTCAGTGATAAAAGTCATCTGCACTGGACACTTGCACTGGCCAAGTTAGTTGTTAATTATTATTTTAATCATCCCACTGCTAGAAACCATTGTCATAGACATGGAAACTGTGATCCTAGATGTTGAAACAGGAAAAAAAATTAAAAAGCCCAAACAAATGTGTAAGTGTGTCCATGTAGCAGCTGCACGGATGCAAGCAGAGCAGCATCGGGAAGATGCTAAAGCAACACTGCCATTTAACTGGCTCTAGTATTGGGAAAAATATTTTAATAATAATTTTCCATATAAATTTTCTAGAAACATCATTAGGATTTTAACTAACAACCTTTTAATTGTTAAAGTTTCATTGCTCTCTTCACATGTGTAGTGACTGTTACATGAAGAACATTTGGTTTTTATGCTCCAGGTAACGTTTCCTGACAGCACTGGAATATTCATTTTCCTGAAAAGCTCAGGGTTCAAATAACCAACAGCATGACTGTGATATCACAGGTTATCTACAAGACTTGAATAATTAATTGTACATTGTGTTTGGCCGCGGAATCAGATGCACTTGTGAAGGTATGCATCCATACCTCAGTCATGATAAGAAGATCATATACATATAGATACATACACACACACGCATTTATATTTAGATATATTCACACATATATTTAATACAGATTTGAAATATATTTGAATTTCATATAAATATTTAATAGAAACATCAAAACAAGTATCTATGTCTGGATTTTGGCAGCAGGGAATCAGCCTCCAAACATCCCCACAGTCAGCAGAGGTGAACCCATCTCACCTAAGAGTTTGCTTGGGGATGCTTTTAAATCACTATTTATCATGAAGCATCAAACTGGATTTAGGAAAATGGCCAGCTAGGTGAAACCTACAGAATAACTACATTTTTTTTTTTATTCTCTCTATACAAATTCTTCTCCCTGATGCTCAGCAACACGCATTTGGCAGCTGAACATTTTTTCCTCCCTGAAGCAGTAGTTAACAATGCAAGTCAGCAAACAAAGATAAGCTCAATGGTTTCCAGGAAACTGAGAGATGCAAGAATGTGGAGCGAGTCAGCCATGGCTTCACATGAAGAACTAGGGAACTAAGGTCAAACTAAAACCTAAAAGAAATTCAACAAGGCCAAGAAACAGTCCAGATACATTTAGGTTGGATTGAAATTTCACAATGCATTTCAACAATGCCTACAATTCAACCCGTGGAATATTAATTCACTGAGGATTTTTTTTTAATAAAGGAAGAACTCAACTTGCAAAGCCCTCAGTTTCATTATTTCAAGCGCAATACTTAAGCATATGGACTGGTTTTTAAATGAAGATTTTAAAGTACATTGAAGTCTGTCTTCCAGCCTTGTTTTGTATGATCAGCTACAGGCCCAACTGAAACAATGTCCCACCGCACACGGGAGCTAAGGTGCAGTGAGAGGTGTTGGGGAGAAGTTTAAAAGCAATGTTAAACTTTAAATAAACAATTTAGCTAAACTAGAAAAAGTAGCTGAACTTTAGAAGTTACAGATCTGGAGCCCTATCAGAAGTGAGAGGAAATTTGTCACAATTCATGGTTTACATCACAAAAATGGCAACATTTTCACCAATAAAATATGCTTAGAAGTAGGCATTCTCTTACTGACGTATAGTGAAGAGTGCCACCTATTGAATCACAAACAGTATTTCCTGAAACAATTAAACTATTTTGGAAAAACGCCATCCCCCTCTCCCCTAAGCATTCAGTTCAGCTTTTCATCTCATTTTCTGGCAAAGAGCAGTTTCGTTGCTAACAAAATTGATGGCCAAACTTTTACTCTAGTGTAGAAGCAAGGCATCAACCTACACTGCAAAGAAGCTTCCATGTTTTTCAGGGATTCTCAGGGAATGAAATTTCCTAGCTAACTTCCAATCTTTTCCAGTAATAGCCGTATGTTCCACGATTGATCCATGATTGGAAGATAACAGTTAGAAGAAACTTAAAGAAGATGGGGGGGGGGGGGGAAGAGGCTGTTTTCTGGAGGTTGTCCTTCTTTCACTTCCAAAACACTGTTCACCCTCCTTCTTCTCTCTCTCGCTCCCTCTCCCTCCCTCTCTCTACATATATATATTTTATCAGAGGGGAAATCCTTCCTTCATACTTAGCTGGATGCTTCTTTATTTCCTCTGGCAACACAAGTTTCTGGCAGAAGCCAAATACAAGCCAGCCCATACCCATAGGCTAAAATCTCACCGGGGCTGCAGAGCAGCAGTCCATGAGAAGCAACATTAGTTGATGAAGGCAACTGCACCAGAGAAGTGCCCTTGTGCGCCTGGCACTGCAACGGTAGCCTGGCCCCGGGCTACGCGCTGCTGCCCTGGCAGCGCTCACGAACACCGTGAATAAGCACCATAGACTTCTACAATTAGACTTCTACAGGCACACAGTTCAGGCACAGAAAAATGCCAGGAATGCTGCAGGAGACTGCGGGCGGCCAGTGCTGCTGGAGCGGGCCCCTTTACACAGGAACACATGAGCAGATCCGCAGCCCCTGCATGTCCTGGCCTGCTGCATCCTACGCACGATTCCCGACGTGTGCCCTCCCGTGCCACTTCCCTCATTGACAAGGCCAGGAGCCACACAGCACAGATGCAAAGGTGAGGGGTGAGGAAAAGATGACAATATGCACATTTCCTTTATCTGTTTACCCCATTCAATAGACTCAAGTACCACAGAATTGCTCCGTTTGTCTCCCATCTTCTCACTGCTTAGCAACAATAAAGCAGTGTAATAAAATCAAGTCCTACTGTTGCTTTGATACTGTAAACAGATAACAGCTAAACATGCCCTCTCAGTTGCACAAGTGAGTGGTCCATCTCTGCCTCCCCGTCCATGCTCTCGCTCCCCTACTCCACAAGCCTGCAAAATTCACCAGTACCAAGAAGAGCACCTTTTTATCAGCTCCACTTCTTCAATCCCAGAGGCTGAACCACAAGTCGCTGCGCTGACACGAGCTCCAGCCCTGCCACTAGCCCAGCTGCGGCGGCTGCTCAGCTGCAGCGCTGCCAGCACCGGCTCTCGAGCGGCCGCGGCTGCAGCTGTAGCCGCTGCAGCGGCGCAGGCAGCAGCGCTGGCACCGCACCCTGGCCATGCGGCCACCGCAGCGCCAGACCCTGCGGCACAGCCACTGCCCCAGCCTGCGGCCCCGCTCCGCGGCCTGCGGAAGGTGCCTGCGGAACCCAGACCTCTCCAAAGCCAAAGCGGGGCCAGACAGACAGATTTGACGTCTCACACAGCAAACCTGCACAGCGACACGTTTATGGCTCCAAGGAATAAAGCCTAGAACAACTGTGTATAAGAAAGTATAATTCGTACAGCACCATATGATGTTAATGTAGGGTAATAACAATTATTAGTAGAGAACACAAAGAAATTCCTGACCTTTTTCCAGGTAGAATCAAAGAACCAGGCTGACGGAGGGATGTGTCTCACCCAACGAAAGCGGGGCCAGCTCCGATATTAGACTAGACCTGCTGAGTCAGGCTTTTAAAATTTCCGAGGATAGAGATTTCACATTCCCTCTATTCAACCTGCCCAATTTTGTGCAATTCTGTTACAATCGAGCCCAGAGCTCAATCCCCTCAGTAAAGATCCAATAGCACATTTTTTAAAGTGTATTTATATAAAAATATTTGAAAAATACCAAATCCTTGAGGTTCCCCTATCACTACTCCTTTTTATGTTTCCTAGTTTTAAAAAAGTTTTAAGTTATTTCTCCTAGCTTTAACTTCAGAACAATGTAATAAGTTGCATCTGCTAAATAAAAGACGAGGAAGCAAGAGATATGCACGGTTACACAAGTTTAGGCTTGTCAGGAGTTAAGAATAAGAACATATACACATATACACACACACACACACACACTAACTCCATCTGGAAGGAAGGGAGGACAGTGATTTCTTTAACTTTGAAAGATAGTATGTTGAAAGATATTATGTTAATGGATACCATATATTATGACTGAAAAATATATATTTCTCAGGCTAAGGAAATTTCCAAGAAAAAGCTTTCTCCTTTAGGTTTCATAAATTTCTTTGGGATATATGAAAGGTTGCAAAAGTTGATTTTACTGTACTGCTAGATGGAATGATAAATTCCAAATTTCGTAAATTGAGGAGAGACAGAAAAAAATATATCTAATATATCTTTTAAAAATAAAGGCAGATTTACCAGACTTTCCTCCAGGGATTTCAGCTGATGATCTATTTCTTTCAGACGGTTTTGCTGATCCCGGTGCTCCTTATTATATCGCAGAACTTTCTCACCTGGAACCACTTCTAGTTTTCTGTTTGCATAAGCCAGAGACTCCTTACAAAAGAAGGAACAGGCATAATTTCAATATATGATTTTATATAGTTTCAACTCCTAAAAAGTGGGTTTTTTTCTATCAAAAAATTTAGAACAATATGTTTATTTCACATTAAACACATAATTTTCATTAAGTATATTTTTAAACACAGTAGATAAGCATAATGAAGAATTTATTTCAATAAAGCAATTCTCCCCTTTCACATCAGAAGAGAAACTTCATAACCTTGATAGCTAAAACTTGATAAGCATGTTCTGTAGGAACAGCACAAATGCAGAGAGAGTCAGGGAAGTGGAAGGAGCAGTTTCCAAGCTTCCTCCTGTTCACCATTCTGGGATAAGAGTTAGGCTGGCAGCTCACAGAAGAAAAAGGAGGAATCGGGCCAAAAATGATCTGGGGCTCTGTTTACTAGCCCTCAAGGAGAAGGAGAAACAAATCTTCTAAACTGAAGTGAGTCAATGCAATGAAGGAGTCAACACACAACCATCATTAAAGATCTGAATTTAAAAAGCAATGTCATAAATACATCTACAAGAACATGCAATTAATGGTACTAAGAACTCCCTAAATGTCATACTATTTATCAATATTTTGTTTTGGGAGTTGTATGCAAGAACTACAAATTGATAATTTCACACAAACTCAGCCTTCTATCTGAAATAGAGCTTAAATTGCAGAAAACACCCCTGGAAAGTATTATTTTTGCAATACCAGCAAAATTTAAACAGGTGGCAGTGAGAGAGGGCATACAATCCGGAAGTTTTCATCTTCACATTCTCCATATATTTTTCCTGAAATAGTGTTAAACAGATCTCTTTGCTGGAAATAGTTTCAGGCAAAGAGAAAGGCATCCTCTCTTACTCTTGCAACGTGAAGGATGTTCCCCATGCAAGCCACACTTGCACAGAGCTCACCGCCACCTTTCTGCTGCTCAGCTGCTGGGAAGCAGCTGCCGTTTCTTCTGTCCCACTTAGGAGCTCTGAGAACCATACGGTGCAACAGTCTAGCACATACACCACAGTTATACGGGAACACAGCGGCATTTTGCTTCATGCTGTGTTTTTCAGAATTGTTCTTAATAATCTTTTTGATATTTGACCACTATGAAGCTTTAAATGTCTGCTTTCACAGAATTAATTCTTTCAATCTCAGTTTTCTCACCTCTGAAGAGTAAAAGCACCAGATGAACAAAGTTATAGCTTTTCCCGGCAACATACTCATTCTCTAACATTTTTCTCAAGAAACCTGTGTTAAATAAAAGTAGGAAGTACTACTGCATGCAAAACATTTTACAGTCAAAGTTTCAAAGCACTTTGTTTCAATTACTATAAAACTGAAGCAGATACAGGTAATGGGAATTTATTAGATATTAATAAAGATCTAAAATTCCTAGAGATGAAGCAGGAAACACAAGCATTAGCTACACTACACATGGGAAGAGGTAAGTCCTTAGAACAGGCAAAGCTGTAGTAACTATTAGATAAATGTGAACAACCAGTATCTGAAGAAAATTTACATTATCTGCTGCACTCCCTTCTCTTCAAAGTTCTAAAAAAGCCAAAACCCTCCTAACGAAGCATTCGGTGCCTTACAATCTCGTTAGGCTGCAAGGCAGGCTGATGTGCTTGTTACCATGCTTCCAGCCGTGCCCTGAGGCAGAGCTCCCTGTCAAAGTGACCTGTCGGGGAGAAGCAGAGGCACAGAGGGCAGGCCAGAGTTAAGTAGTGAAACATTAGAGTCTCTTCAGAAACTTCTGTCCCCTTTTTATTTTCCATTTTCTCAAATTGGGAAACGGACTCATCATACTCAGGTCTTATCCTTCATACTCTTCACGCAACCATTCTCCTCTCTCTTACAGAATTATATTCATTTTAACTTGCCCCCCTCCCAAAATATTGAGTAACATGAAAGAATTTTTTAAATATTTAATTACATTGGCACCAGGAAAAAAGAAATGCTTGAGAGAGAAACAAAGTTCTGATGAGAAACATGCCCATGTAAAAGAGAACATTAGTCATGGAAACGCAGTCTGAATCCAGCTGGCCTGACTGCACAGAAGAGGAATATGGATGCTTCTCTGTAGCAGCTAAACTCTGGTACTGCAGTTTAATTAAAGCCAGTCGTTAAAGATTTCAGATTCAGAGCATAGTTCCTATATCCTGCCAATGTACTTAGAAGGTGGAGGAAGCAGCTCTGTCATCAAGCCATGGTGCTTAAGTGTCTACCCTTCGGAAGTGATACCCAATGCAGTTCTTGGAAGAAAAGAACGTGCATCTTTGACATGTAACCCTAAGCTAATTTCATTTTAATTACCTCTAAAATTCAAAATGAAAATCCAAGTAGAGGACTTAAGACATCAACAATTTTCTGCACCATTCCCATCACTTACAGATTATACTTTATTTACCACCAACAAATGAAACTCTGCAAATCAGAAAAAATAACTCAAAAAAAAAAAAAAAAAGATGCCACTGAAATTAGACTCTTCTCTGAAGGAACTGGTATCCACATTTCAGTTTAAACTACTATTCGATAACAATTCTTGACATATTGAAAACAGTTTTCAGCATTATGTGTGTTTCATACACTAATTGCCTTTATATTTCTTTCTGCATATGTAATTCACTGTGTTAGTGCCTTGAATGCCTCCCACTTCTAACTGGTTTTACAGAGACATCCACATTAGTTTGCTTCCTCATTCAGTTGCTGCAAACCACTGAAGAAAACTACTAAACTTGAACTTAAACTCTTGGAACTAGCCCCAGTAAGGGACAGCCACCCAGAACCAATGTCTCCTTTGCTTTGCATATCACAAAGCAGATCTCTTCGGAAAAGCATCACTTGGTTAATTCATTTCTTCAGACCCTTCTTCTGGATAGAACTGCTAACCCTATCCCACTACATTTTCTTCTCTTCGTTTCTTTCTCGAATGCAGTAATTCACATTTAAACATTCTGAAAATGAGCTGGCAAGAGAGGGACAAAGCTGTGTTAAGAAAAACATGAGTGGCACTGGACACAGATAAATCACACGCTAAAAAAAGTATATTATATCTTTTTATGTAAAGTTCTATAAACCTCAAAATAAACATGAATTTTTCAGCTACTGCCTCATATTACTTCTTTTTGTTTGAACATAAGAGGTTGAGAGTTCACAGCTTTACCCAAATTCAGAACTTAACAATACCTGAAGTTATCGTTCTACCCATACATTGAAAAGCAATTATTTAGGTACCACCACAAACCACACTACAGTCAAGACTGCAGGACTAAAGGCTGCATCTAGTAAAAAGCCTATGCATTAAGCAGTGAAGCTCACAAAAGCTGCCACAGCTCTTCTCACCATCACTCGCCAGCCCCCAAGGACAGCAGTGCAATGACACGTGAGCACAAGCGAGCTTGGACACGGAGACCGCAGCCACCGCGCGCCGCTTCCTCAAGACCCTGGGAAGCCAAGGCCAGCAGAGCTGATGCTCAACACGCGTGGAGAACCAGGAGCAATTTGGAGGCAAATATTGAAGGGTGATTCTGGAATTAACTCTTTGCAGTTATTTAGTGTTATTCAAAAAGGTACCGCATGACCCTTCTGCAGGCATACACAAAAATGCAAGTTTCTTCGCATATTTCAGAGCTTTCATCTGGAAAAGGAAGTGACACAGTCCCCTGGACAAATGTTCCCAAAGCAAACAGAACAAGTGCTCATTATCACAGCAATGGTATCCACACCGAGGATACCTCCTACCAGGAGGAACTCAAGAGCCAGCAGCTCCTTGCAAGTTCACACTCACGAAACGCTAGAGGGAGTCTCGGTTCACACATCAACTCTCAGGTGGCAAATGAACAATATTTAAATCGAATTCCTTCTTCGAAACTCTTATAGAAAGAGTAAATAAAGTTTTATTTCTCATGAAATAGTAACTCCATAAAGAATTCAACAAAAAGTGACATTAAAATATAGTTCACAATATAAAGTTGCCTTTAAAAAGAAAAACCAGCTATTTAGCTGTTGAAAGATGTTCCACATAAGCAAGTAACTGAAGACGTTCTTACATGACCTCTAACAGAGCCGTCCTGATTATAAACTGAAAGCTTTACAAAACAAAATTTTACAAAAATTTTATGCAAATAGTTGTCAAAATATGGGCAATGAGTTTTATTTCACCCAGGATGTAGCAGACAACATTACTGGTAAATGGTATATGATAAATGGATAAATTCAAAAAAGAATCTGCATCACAGACTCTATTCTTTAATATACCTGATAAATCTGGCTTGGAGATTTTGAGCAAGAGCTGCGACTTGCAGAAAAATCCCCATTAGAGAGCACTTGAAGCTTAGTATCTATTTCACTCAAGTGATGAAATTCCATTGGTTCAGGTGTGTACCCTTCTCCTGGTACTAGCCAGCCAGACGCATCTTCCTATTGAAAAAAAAATAAAATAATTATTCTTCATCCCCAAAAGAAACAAGCTTTGAAGGCAGTTACACATAAAGTGTTTTTTTTTTAAATAAATTGTACTTAAGAATAAAATGTACATTCTCATTCTCACAGGTGAACACTTCCAGTACTCATGTGCCAAGTACACCTTGAAGCAGGTAACCATTGACCAGTTTTATTGCACACTTCTCACTTCTAAATATAACCAAGCAGCAATTTAAATAGACTTCTATTATAAGTCTACATAAACTAAAGTCTATATAAACTAAGTACATATAAGAATATATGTACTTAGCTTTATCTCTTAGAAACTGCATGAACTGCATGCTGGTGTTATGAAAAGGTGTTATGTTAACCTGAACAGACTCCTGCAATCATCATACTGAATTCCATAAAAGTCCAAAGCCTTTGCCCTCACCGAGCAGCCACTCCAAACCCCTGCAATCAGGTTGCTTAAAACAAGTGCCTCCCCTCTACTCGCTACTTTCCAAGCAGAAAGGCACAGCTCTCACTGGACTGAACTGTCCAGTAGCATCTTCCTAACATTCATACTTTGCATTTCAGCAAATACTGTGCAAATCTCTGTGCAAATACTTCTTAATCTGGTAACTAGAGAGCCTCACAGAACTGCATTACACTTGAAGAGCAAGGGACAGGACAAGAGAGCTGACCAAACAGCAAACCTGAAGAAGAAAGCTCATTCCTCCAAGTCAAGTCAACAAGTACAGAAACATCCAGCTCCAAACTCCCCTGAAGACGAGCGCATCTTGTCAGCATCCCCCCCATCCTGGTACATCCTCCAGTCTGGCAGGGCCCCAGGGCCTCCGTTCTGCTGCGCACATGGCTAAAAGTCACTTACAAGTCCCCACTAAAGCAGAACACACTGCTCTCTACTGTCCTTGGAGGGAAGGGGGGGAACAGCCTCAGGCACAAGCCAACAAAGGAAATATCAGTCCTTTTGAGCATAAACCCAGCAACTCTCTATATAGTATTGGTTGGAAGCTGTTAAAGTTTGGCCAACAGCAGCCTCGGAATGAAACTGAAGAGGCTCTTCCTGTGGCAGAAACCACCTGGAGCCAATTATCAAAAAGAAGGTATGAGATGCAGTGCAGAGTCTATTGCAAAAGAACAAAACACATGCACAGGAAAGCCTGAATTCTTAGAGGAACTGCTCTGAGACCAGTAGCCACTGCTTTCTAGAGACCAGCATGATGTCATATCCCCTCCAAAATCAACAAAACAAAAAAACTTGGGCAGGCAGAAACTATTGGGTTCTTTGCTGACTATTATTTAGACAAGTTCTTCCTCATGACAGCAGTAACATGTGCCCAAGCAACACAAATATGTGCTCCAAGTATGGACAGCTGCAGATAAGGAGTGAGCTTGGCCCTCTCCACTCAAACAAATGAGCTCATACTCACAGCGGATGCAGCAACCTGGCACTCCTGCCTTGCAGCCTGGGAACTAGGTTTGGGCTAGCCCCATTCATCAGGAATGATGCTAAGAGATTATATCTAAGATTACACCCTGATCCCAAAGAAATGCCAGGTAGGACTTCACAAGGGTTGGGCAAGAAGGTGGAGAAAGAGATTTCCTTTCCTTCTTTCAAGATAAGGGCCATTGCCTTGCCCAGGGACTGCAACATCTGCCCTGCAGGGGACTCGCACACACTAACGCCTTCAGCGCTCCACATTAATCATCTAGACGCTCAAGCAGCCACATCCCCATGAGAGGGGGAAATAGGAGCTTCCAACTATAACACCACTGCTGCGAAGTCATCCCTGCGCAGCCCCTTTACTCCAGAGGCACAGCAGGAAAGCACCGACCAAGGCTCACACAACTACATCAGCTTCACTTGCTGGAACTGAAGACTAGTAATAAGAAATTTAGGGGAAGAAATCACTTTACACATACATCAAGCCTAAGTATGTGCAATTCACACCACAAAAACTATCTTCAAATTTCCACATTAAAGATCTCTTCTGTAAAAGGGATCTCACCAGAGTAGCATTATATACCTACAAAATGTTTAAACATAAACTAGTTTTAGTGTTAATAACTTAATAGTTAGTGTTTAGGCTGTTTAGACTCATCTTTTTCTTGAAGTAATTGCAGGCCCTTCTACCACAGATTATACCAGCTACCCAGCTTCCCCTACCCTACTTGTGTTGGGAAGAGACGGGCTCATATTTTATGCAGAGGAAATAGGCCATCTTCTCCTCTAAGAATACTCTAAAGTATTCTTTAAGACTCCTTCCATCTGTACCTAATTTTTCATGAAATTCCTGAAGCTCTTCAAAGCCCTGAGAACTTTCAAGTGTTGGTAAAGAGAACAAAGAAGTCAATAAAAGTTCGTTTCTGCAGAAAATCCAATGAGGTTTCTTCAGCTATGTTGTGACGAGACTAAAAAACAAATATAATTTTACAGTAAAATCAAACCAAATACAACAGAACAGTACAAAAATCTCCATACCTCAAAACCCTGCAATTCACTTCCATCTTCCATATCTTTCAATAGCTCAATCAACCTCTTCTTTTCTTCCTCAAGCAAAGCAACCTGGTTTCCAGAATCCTTTGCCAGCTGAAGTATTTACAAATAAATGAACAAACAAAAAGTCTTTAGAACCATATTCGCTCAAGTGGCAAAGTTTTTAAACTCTGAATTTAACATCTGATCTTGCTTATTGCTATAATACAAATTATCACTCTGACAAAAATCTAGCAGCCTGGAGGTAAACTATAATTTTCATTTTTTGTTTTTGACACACATGTAGAGTTTTTTCAATTAAAAAAAAATCATTATAGGTACTACAGCCTTAGAGAAACAAAAGCACAGAATTCAGGATATCTATTTTTTTCTGACAAATTTTTTGTAGATGAGCGTCCTGTGGTGGCTGCACATAAAAAACATACATAGTTCTTTTCTAGGAATAAGGATGGCTTCTCTTTGCTTATCACTAAATTATTTAAATAAAGATTTAAAAGAAATACTTTGTCCTCAAAATAAGCTGTGTCCAGACACAAACAATTCAATTCCCATGACTCTTCTGCAAATACATAAAAAGGGTATTATCCCAATCCCATAAACACAAGCACCAAGAGGAAGCCTATATTCTACAGCAGTATATTATACTGGTATATTATACCAGTATATGTCACTCAATACAATTTAGAAGGAAGATTTTGCTTTCAATGTTTTTGAGAAAGAAACTGTTTATATACTACTGTTTCACTTAACACTGAATCAGAGAAGTGAATGATGTTACGTTTTAACACTTACCTCAATATTCTTTCTAATGAAATCCTGGCTGCTTTTGCTTTTATTTTGTGTTTTTTCTGCCTGATTCAGAAATTCATTTGTTTTTATTTCCTTTGGACAATCTGAAGTTTGAAAAAGAAGTTGCAGATTTAGACCACTACTTTTCTCATTCAATAAGAATCTTTATTAAACATGTAAAGTGGATATACAAACTTCTGGTGTGACATTTTCAGTATTTTTAACTGTACTGCTATATTGGAAACATAATTATGAAAGACTAATCTCTTCCTTCTGAGCTTTTATTATATGAGATCATCCAACTTTGGGAAAGCTAAAATACTTTAGGATTTCTGACCTCAAAAATGTTAAACATGGTGGCTTTGAAAGGCATGGCATTCCTGCTAACCCTCTTATTGTTTCAGTTTTATCATCAGTACAAAACCAGACAATAGTTTTTGGAGAAACCACAGAACTATTTGGAGACGTATCAAGTACTTTTTTTTTTTTTTTTTAATAAAACAGCTGAAAAACAGATGATAGAACATAGGTTCTAGCAGCTCATTCTTCTACAGTTTATATGTAAAGTCTCTTTACATATATGTAAAGAGTCTTTATATGTAAAGACTCTTGCAAACGGAACAGACTAAAAGCAAACTCTTAAACATATAGAATAAATTCAGTACATCTTTTTACAAACTGTGGACAAAAACTGCAACATTCTCTCCAGTCTTGCTCTGAAATTGCAAGCAAATGCTAATGGGATGAAGTGTGGCACCCGGCCACTGAGAAAACCCTTGTCATGGTACAAGTTTACAGTTATTCACAGAAAACATCCCAAACTGTCTCTGATGTTTCTGTCTCTGATCAGGTAACAGAGAAAGAGAAGGCCTTGAATCTATCTAAGAAGTGAAACCACTTAATAATTTACAGATAAATAAGAGTAAGGAGTTGTAACCTGCAACTCTTTAAAAGCAAAAAAAGATAAGAGCATAACACACAGCACGTATGAAACTTGCTTTTAAACTACCTTTTTCTGCTACCTGTTGCCTGAGTGCCTTCAAGAGTGAACCATCATACACAGTATCTCAGAATATTCAAATAAAGAAGGGACCAGCACAATTACTGTGACAAGGAATTCATTAGAGAACATCTCAATGAGATTGCTAAAGTAATAGCACAGCAAGTAGTAAGCAACCAAAACAACAGGTTTTAGAAATCAGATACTACATTGATTCTGCTGAAGACTCTTGATAATTCATTTAAGTATTTTATTGCTCATGAGTTGCAAGTGATTTCTGCTTCATGAGTTCCCAAACCAAGAGGATGTAAATCACCTCAAAAGTGCATGTGCAACAGCAGCTCTGACCTGTGGGAGCTGTTGGTGCCCTGAATTCAGAAAATCAAAATCTATCAGTGGTAAGCAAAGACACTGCAGCAAATGTGTGAAACTTGAAGCCTAAGGGTCAAGTTTCAGTTTAGGAAAGAATGAAGAGCACATACCAGGGGACTAAGGCTGATAAAATGGAAAGGGGATTGAGGTCATGGCTTGAAAAGCTAAAACATGTGGTCGCATTCTATAAAGTCAAGTCACATTCTGCCATCAGTGGCTCACACTTCAGGAACACTCCATCATTGTGTCTTTGTCATCCTGGCCACTCACCAGGGTTAGATCACTTCTGTTTACATAAAAAGACAGACTAAAGAACTGAGCAATTGCAGCTGACAGCAATGGTAGCTGAAGTCACCTCTTCTGTCAAGTCACATATCAGAACATAGTCAAACGCAAAAAAAATCAAGTTAGTAAAAGACAAAAGCGCAATTTTTGTTATTTTTAAAACACTTAATATCATGCTAAATAAAATGCTTTAGGTTAACTACAAAGTTTTTTCCATTTTAATCACTTTTTGAAGAGAGAGGTATTGCCATTGCAACAGACAAACTTACTACTGACTTTAGCTCAGCCATGAAGGGAAAGTCTCCATCACCTACTCACTTCACATGTTGTTTTTCTGCACCAGAAAATCACAGTTATACAGTTTCTAAAGCTTACCCTGATTACGATGGTTTTTGCGACAATCATAATCTTCTGGATTAATTTGTGTGTGAAATACTGAAATACATATTTCATCTTCTTTAATGTGGAAGGGCTCTGTTAAGAAATTTTTCAGTACAATTTAATTAAAACACATTTAAAGATGACCTACCTTCATGCATATCATTCTATAAAATCTCATACACACAAGTTACAGAAACTTACTTCTTTCTTTTCAGATAAGTTGCATGATGACTATATTTTTCAAGAGGTAAAGGTGAAAGAGTAAAGTGTTTCATCAATATGAACGTGTAACAAGAAAACTCTTCAAAAGTTTCATATACCTCTGATTTAAAAAAAAAAAAAACACTGCTACATATACACACACATATAGCCTGCAGTAACAAGTCTGAACTCGAGTGAAAGCATAATCTTTTTTCTGACTTACATTTCTCCCACAGGCACGTTAGAATTTTCCGTGTAGCTGGGATATATATTGGTTAAAGATTTTGTACTCAGAACCTCTGTTTGATATCACAGCCACATTAAGAATTACAATTATCTGTCTATATAAAATGTAGTCATCTATATAAAACATTTTATATAAAATGTACCTTATTATGGATATCTAATAATTACATTACTATTATGTTATATCTATGTATAATATTAATTGTGTGTAATATATTTACAAAAAAAACCCAAGTCCTGTATCAAGTTCAAGTTTTGAAAAGCAAAGCATATGAATCACATTCCATTTCGTTATCAGCCTGACAGCTATTTGCACTATCAGTCCTTAAAAAGCAAACTCGAAGTCCAGCACCAGCACGTTATCAAAAGAATAAGACAAAGACCCAGTGAGGAGGGGAAACCTAAATTACGCAGAATTATGCCAGTATGGCACACTAGAGCCCACATGACAAACACTCACTACAGCAGAGAGTAACCTTTGATCAGAGCAATGAAAGGCAGCACATAATTCATTAGCAATTACACACATTCATGTTTGCCTACCTTTTTTTTTTTAATTATTATTAGATGCTGACACCTACTGGACAATTTTAACATACCATTCTTCCCAAGCTAAATTCTGTGCACTTCCCTTAATAATGAAAACTTAAGTACAGAAATACAAAATTTACCTTAGAATAAAGTTTTGCTTATTTCTGCTTTCTTTTTTTTTCCCCACCATACACTGCTACATTAGTATGCATATATACCCAGACAGTCAACCAGCAACATCTATTCAGACCACAAATCCTCATTGCCTTTCTCAACAGAAAAGGTAGGAGGCACTAAAATTCTGCTCTCTTTCAACGAGGAAACTGTTTCAGCCAAGGGGCAGAGAAGGGCAGACTGCAAAACGTGCATATGGCCGAGCTGCTCAAGGAGAGGCTTTAACAACAAATTTTTAAGAACTACTCTTTTACTGGACTTCCTGTCTTTCCCTCCAGAGAATATCTTCATAGTATGTCTTTAACACAGTTTTGCTTCTTAAAACAGCTAGCTATTCTAAGGGTTTTTTTTTTTTTTTTTTTCCTCATAGAATTCTCAGGAAAATAATTTACCTAAAAAAAAGTAAGTTTGTGGCTCATATAGCCTTTTCACTAGAATCACCCTTAACATTTGATAATCCTTTTTACTCAAATCACCTCCCTTTGTCAGAATCTTAAAACTCTTTTAGAAGTTAAATTTAACATAATCAGCATCAAATTTAGTATTTGCTGCCACAACCCAAGGCCCTGGGTCATACACATGCTCCTGCATCGGTTTCCAACATGTAACCAGATAGCTGGCATGGTCACTTGGTCCCATTCTGTCACTATGTCTGTTAGCAGTTCCTAGAGGGAGGCTGCCTTTCCCTTCTTTAGGTATAATCATCTTGCCAGATCCTCACTATGGCACTATGCCATTGCTTCCTTCAATTTTTCTTTTCACACTCCACCTGAAAATATTCTCCCAGATATATATGAAAGGCCCACAACATTCCTAGAGCTCCTATTGAAGGGTTTTTAAGCGCCACCTACTCCTACATCAAGTATTACAAGTGGTGACCTATTTCACTAACAATCCCTGATACATTAGTGACTTTATGATTTTTCCATTTACTACAACAATTTTGATTTCCTTGGTTATTGCCCAAACCTGTTGAACACACAGGACAATCATAACAGGATATTCTTGTCTCTCTCACTTACCAGTTGCATCCTGCCATGATGAGATCAAGGCTAAAAAGTGTTTTGTGTTTTCTATCTCCTCATGACTTCCAGAAGTACTGACAGACTATTTAAAAGAAATAAAGCATAAATATCTACAGTATTCATTTAAAGTTGCAGCAAAATACTTCGTATTTGCATTAAAAGAAAAAAAAAAATCAGACACTAAGCAGACTTTAAACCATATCAAAATAATTTCTTTTCTTCCTGAGGCTACTGGAACATGCCCTTAAGTTTTCATGACAGCACAGTGGAACTTGGAAGTCTCTGTCATGCACCATCTCTTAAGCAGGGGCACATTTCATACAGCAAAGAAATTCTGTAATGGATACATGGCTTTCAATCCAAATCCACTGAAAGGGACAATCACAGAAGATAGTAGATGTACTCTTAGATAGACTATTTTATTTAAGTTGTATACTTCTAACCTGAAGTTCTTCCCAGAGCTTTGCTCTCATTTCTTTGCCTTGTTTTTTAATTGCTCTCTCTTTTAAGTGCTTTTTTGCTAGTATTGTGTCCAGTTTATTCATCTTCTTTATTGCTGCTTGAATCAGAGTATCTACAGCTGCCTGTTCAGAATCTTCTAAGTTGGAGGAGTTTGCTGTAGATCATATTTAAAACAAATATTAGCTTGACATATTTCAATTAAAAAAAAGAAAGAATGTAAGTAATTTGACAGCAACTGCATACAAGAGTAAAAACATTCACTAATGTATACATAATCATGTTCACTTCCAGATCTGTTTGCAGCAGGGGGAAATACAAAAGCATTTAGAAAGAGATTGATGAATTAAGCTCTTCGCTTTTGCAGTTGGATTGGGGTGGACATAAGCCCCCCATTTGGCAAATGAGTGAAATTTAAAAAAGGAAAATTGACAATCACAGACAAAATTAGCTTAAAAGTCAAGAACTCCTCGTGTATTCAGATTCACTACTAGAATACATATTAAATGTCAACCATTAACTTGAATAATCATAAAATTGAGAGACATTTCAGTTTTAAACATTATTGAAGCTTCAGTCTCAGCTAAAACAGAGTCTGATACTGTTTTTGGAAAAGGCAGTTTTGTAAAATGTTATGGAAATTAACACTACTTAAAATTCTACATTGTCTCTTTTTTTCCCCCCTTGACATGCAAATTACAATTTCTGATCACTTTTAGCCTCTCTCCCCTTCCTATAGCACCAAATTCTTTCCTAATTTCTGTTCAAGGTAAGCCTGGCTTCTAGAGGAGGACAATCACAGTACTATCCCTAAGTCACAAGCTTCCAGGTTTTTTTTCCCCCTGGTCAAACTTGGCTTCTGATAATAAATTCATAAACAAATAAATAGCACTGAAGACCAAAATAAAGTCAACGATTTTGAGTTTGGCATTTTGCCAGAAACAGTGAATACATGCACATACAGGAGGAGAAAAAAAGAACAGAGGACTACAAACGCCACTGAAAGATAGGATAATTGTGACAGAGTTAAAAGCATGAAAATATAAAGACAAAAGCAGCAATTCCAATTCTATTCCTTCAGTTAAAAACTAGAAGTAAATTGGGATATACAGTTAATACTCCTGCGGCACATCTCTCCATTTCCTAATCTGAAATTTCCTAATTTTTCTCCATTTCCATCTTTTGGAATCAAAAGTTCTACATATCTATTGTCTCAAACTGTTTACTGTGATCTCTTATTCTACTTTGTGCCAGAAGAGGTGATCGATATAGCAAAGAAAAAGCTGCAAGAGTCCTGCTGAACGCTAAGGAAGCCCCAGAGACAAAAGTGGGGAAAAGAACATTAATTTCATCTGATCTGAGCCCAGCAGTGGATTTGGAGCTAAACCCACCGAGACCTTGAAGTTGAACTCTATCCAATTGCTGTTCCAATGAAATGAATGTTATTTGAGATGATTGGCCTCCTAGCTGCCACTGGATTCTGCTTTATTACATCAGCCAAACATATATATAAATCGAAAGTTAACGTAACAATAAAGTGATTACTCTTTAATGAAATAATCCCTAAATAATTGATCTTCCTCCTTTTGAAAACCTGACATTTCTTCTATTTACAGTATTTTTAGACACACACACACACATACATACAGATGCAAGCACACACATACAGTAAAGTCCCAAATTTTCATAGAAGAATTAATAATAAGGAAAAAGATATTAAATTGCATTATTTGCTCTATAAATCTAAGTCTAATCTCTGGCATTACTTTTTTTTTTTCCTTGGGAAGGTTCACAGAATTTGGAAGTCTTTTCAACACTATCATCCCCAGAATCCGAATTACAGATAGATCCTGAAAAACAAACACAGTAAAAAGCCTTTCACAATAATATGAAATGAACTTTTAAAAATACCACATGAACCATCAACAATTAAGAGAATAAACTGCCTTTTTCTTCCCCCCCCCCCCAACTAGGGGTCAGCACAGTGGCTTCTGCAGCAGATTACTGCATAGAACAACTACACTAGGACTCAAGTTAAGCACTAGGTGCAGGAATTAAGGAATTTCTTGAAATCTATCCACATCTGAAGAAGGTATCCAACCAAACTCACTGTTTCAAACACTGGCCTTCACTTGTGTTTTTAAGTAAATCAGAAGCTGTGGAAAATTAGTTTATTAATATTTACAGAAGGTCAAAAAAATAAGTAAAACAGGTCTACACATAGTTTCATTGAATTGAAACAAGATATTGCATTTCCATACTGAAAGTGTGTTAATTAGTATTTGCATTGTTCAGTTGTTAAATCCTTTAACTTAAAATTTTTGTTTAGATTAAAGGACCGTTATCGGGTTACAAAATTTCTCAAAAATTACCATAACCTTTGAAAAGTTGGGTAAGAAACACACTACTGGAAGTACTTTCCAACATTGTTCCAGGGATCAGATGCAGAGGGCCTATCCTGACCTTACAGGCCATTACTAATGAGCAGATCCCTGCTTTGATGCCACAGGACATTTATTATATGATCACTGCCATTACCATTATATTCAAACAGGTAAAGAGGAACAAAGGTATAATTTTGACATGATCATCTTCCTCCTACTTCCAGGATTTTACTTATTACATCCCTTTCACATCTGACAATTGAATTTTACACAAATTATCCAAACACATTTGATCTAGCCATAACTCAAAACACATGTTAGCTGCTTCCCCACCTGACAGCTCATTAGGATTCTGTATAAACTCCTGAAGAGCGAAGGTAATATTTTCCACTGAAGTTTGCTTAGCTGTTTTTATTCTCGTGATGCCAGACTTTTCCCCATCCTCATCTTTATTTTCCTCTGGACAGCAGTGTCTTTGCTGGTTACTGGTCAAACTGACAGGTGAACCAACCTATGAAACATAAATATAAAAGCTATAATTGCAGATGGGGGAGGGAAACAGTAACTATAATCACATACTACTCCAGAGGCTACCAGTGCTCCTACACGAAATTGCAGAGCATGTCTTAAATAAAGGGGCAGCCTCCTGCCCCGCTGAAGCAATTTCTGTTTCGCAGGTAACTTTTGTCCACAGTTCCCATTCCTCCACTGCCAGACCTGGAAGGGTCTGTGACCTACACATGGGCAGCAGCAGAGGCTACAGCTGAGTCGGTATGAGGCTGTTGTGCACGGCAGCTGCATCCTACAGCTATTCTGCTCAGGTAGCATCCCACTCTCTCGCTTATAGCACACAGGTTAGCTAACACTGTTAACAGAAAGTAATCGGATAGCAGCCTTGAAATCTGACTAGGAACCTGTTGGGGAAAGGGGGGAGGAAAAAAAAAAAAGACTGTGAAGCCTCCAGCTATGACTCTAGTTTACAGACAGGTGAATGGAGATACAGCTCAAGTGGATATATTAAACATTACTCTGAGCATGCATAAGGAGCAGCCCCTCCACATGAAGCTTCATGTAATCGCATAGCACATCTGTTGACTCCAGAACTCTGTGCAGTCAAAAAATAAAAACAATAATTAAAGAAGAACTTATTTTTTTGCCATCCTACTAGAAAAAAAACAAGGTTTGTGGAAGGTGTAAAGCATTACCTTTGGCAAACACAGCTGTGGTGTCAACACCTCCAAAGATGCACTTAAAGATCTACAAGTAGGATACACTCTTGAGCTAGATGCAGGCCTTGAAATTTTATCCAAGCTCCCCCTTGTAATATCCATTGAGACCTAAAACAGAGATAATAAAAATAAAAACAAAAGATGGCCACAGTTAGCACCAACAAAAGGGCAAGGTTAATTTATAAATATCTAGAAGGCATCAAGCACAGCAGTGGGAAGCTTTTTATGGTGCAGCAATTACAAGCTGCGGGAGCTTGCAAATCAGAAGCAGTTATTTATTCCTGTTCCCTTCCCAATTAAGGGCTCAGAGACCAGAAACGCATACCGCTCTGCAAAAAAAAAACACAGTGTGCATTGCTACATGCACTTTTAACCAGAGCACAGGGATTTTCAGAATTTTCCATTTAAAAAAAAAAAAATCCTTTCAGTGCTAGCCAGAAAGGATGAAGGGATGCACGCACACATGCCCGTAACGGCAGAGCACAGCGTGGAGAGGCCGGCAGAACTAAAGACAAGCACCCGGGGAGCATACAGGGGTTCCAGCAAACGGGCAAGCCGCTTTTCCTGACCGAAAGGGAACCGGACCGGCCGGGGGCGCCCAGCGGGGCCGCCGCCAGCGCCGGGTAACGGCCGCCACCGCCCCGCCCACCGGGAGCCGCCGCCGTCTCCATGACAACCCAGCCCCGCCAACGGCTCCTCGCGGCAGCGGCCCCGCCCCCCTTTTAAGGAGGGCCGGTACCATCCCTGGGAAAGGGGGGGGTGTCAGTGAGCACTTCCCAACTACCTCTCGCAGAGAAAAGCAGAGAGGAGCCCTAATTTTTCTCACAGATCTGGAAAATAACTCGTAAATCCTATTCAATCTTCTCAGCCCTGGTGGGGAGAAACTAAGTGCGGAGCGCGTGCTTTTCCCCTCGCTCTCCCCGCCGGAACCGGTGGGCTGCGCCGGCGCAGGGCGGGCTGCGCTCGCCTCAGAGCTGCAGTTACCTGCGCGTCAATTATAATTAGTAATAAAACAGCTTAATCTGACAGGGGCACTCTAAATCACCCCTAAAGTAACAGAGCCGTGCCCTAAATGGGTGCTCGCGGCTTGTTTTGTCGTCTCCGGTGTGAAGGGGGGTGTGCTGGCTAGGGACCTTGCCCATCCAGGGGTTGGTGTTTTAACGAACTCCTTAAAACTTTAACGCCCTGGTGCACCTGGTTACTTACTGGTAATGAGGGACAGGAGAGGAGAATTATCCCCCCTTGTACTCCCAGCCTTATGTCTGTCCCACACACACATGTAAATAGGATGCAAGGTATTTTGGAGTAAATTCTGCAAACTGGAAGGAGGGTTTCTGCTCTCCTCCCCACGCAACTTTCTTTGATATCCATGTTTTTTGGGGTGAAAATGCATTTTGTTCCATGTAAATTTTGCATTGGCAAATCTCTCTGCCAAAATAAATCCTAGCTGCTGGAGGCATGTGTCTGTCATAGGTGGTAGGATATAGCACTTTGCTGTCACATTTTTGAGTATTTTTTCCCATCTTGCTCCCTTCCTTGGTGTTTATAGTGCTGTAAGGACGTGATAGGATGTGCAATGGAAGTATTAAATGCAGGAAAGACGCTCGTGAGCCCTGGGTATCTCTGCCTCCTGACTTGCCATCGGCAGCTTCCATGCTGTGAGATGCACAACACCTCTGTAGAGGAGTTAGGATGGTGCTTCCAGCTCTGTGTTTGGTGACAAACATAAATCTCCTTTGAAAGCGTCCCAGTCTATAGCAGTATGTTTCTTAATGTTGGTTGTCCAGACAGAATCAGTTAAGATTTTCTATGAGGCTGTCACATTTGCGAGTTAACTGCAGGCATTTAGCAAGGGTAAGTCAAATCAGAGCCAATCTTACAACAGGTGTGTTACATATCCTAAAGGACACAGAAAGGTTCAGAGTTCACCTCAAATCCCACAATAAATGAGAGGGTTGACTTACCAGTTTATTTTCAGGACACCATCATAGAGTACATAACAATTTAATGAAAGGTGACATATATGAAGGGCACAGATGTAAATGATACCTAGATAATTTGCTACAGTGGTATTCACCAGCCCCATCCTCATATCTCCCATCACGAGCATGATGAATTATTCCCTTAATATAACTCTTAAGACTTTAGCCATAGCACATCTTTTCTGAGGCCAGGACAAGCCATATGATAGTTTCAGTAAACTGTGAAATGATTAAATTTTATAGCTGTTACGCTAAAGTATAGCAAGGTGTAGTAAAACACTGAGGAGAACATAGCTTTAACTGAATTTTGCAGAACCCTTTTTGGTGTACAATCATAAAATGGAAAAAAAAACACTTTCCAGTTTTACTTGAGTTTTGAGACAGTGGTTTAACAAAGACTTGTGGAAGATAAATTTTATGCAAGTGCTAAATCATTTTACATCAATATGAAATGGTTCAGGTGAACTTAGTACAGCAGTAAGACTATCGCTGGTAGCTTTCAAAAGCCCGAATGGTAAAGAGATCCACGATCTCTTTGATCAACTTCATCGCACAGTGCTGTGGATGTGCCTCCTTTCAGTGTGTTGCAGGATTTTTCACTTTGTGGCATACACCTTTGTCAAATCTGACTCATCTCATGCTCACACAAACGAACAGACCATGCCATGATATACACAAAAAAAAGAACCAAAAAAAACCCCTCCTAAACAGAAAAACAACTGTACCACCCTAGTACACATTCAGAGATTTAGTTTTTACACTTCTATAACAAGTATGTTTGAGTCCCATAGTATCAAGGAGGCACCGCAGCCTCTCTGGGCAAGCCTTGCTGTGAGCCTTGCAGCTCCTCAGCGCTGAAACTGGCATGGCAACAGAGGAAGAAGAATATACACCATGAAAACTTTCATCTTCCACTTACATATAGGAACATGTTCAGATTATTAGCATGTGGGTTTTTTTTTTTTTTTTTTTTTTTTTTTATACAGGACTCAATGATAAAGTGGTGGCAGGAAACATGGAGAAGCAGAGTTCTCTGAAAGATGAATGGGATAAAAATGTGTTTAATTGGGGTAACCTCTTGCACCTAGGGAGGGCAGAGCAAGAGAACCATTCCAGGATGTGCCTTTCCTCCCAAAAGGCAGGTTAAAACACGATGAAGACGACTCAGAGAGGCAGTCTGGTGCTCAGAACAGTCACCATGGTAACAGGCTGCATTTAGTCATCTTTTCCCTAAATTCAAGCAAAAAGAAACACAAATGTAGGTGTGGGGAGAGGTATCCAAGAACTTGCTCTCAGTAGTACTGCCTTTATTGATGTCCTCTCCTGAAGAGCATTTTAATCCACATCTGTCATTTTTACTTCCCAAGTAGGTAGGCAAAGCACCACCCTTGCTGACTTTATACAGACCGGAGAGCACATTACCAAGGCTTTGGTTAAGGCTCTGTTACCTGCCTGTGGTGTTTGGAATATCCGCCGTGTTCTCAGCTCAAGTAGATGTCCTTTACAAACAGGCAATATTTTCTAAGCAGACTCTAGCAGTTTCAGTACTCAAATCAGGACAAGCAGAGCAAGATTGCAGTAAGTTCTTTTCCATGTTAGGGGTATAAACACACCCCTTTCTTGAAATGTGTGCGCATTTGCTTTATTTTTTCCATGTTTGTTTTAATTTTACATGAAGCTTTTTTGAGTCCAAGTATTTTGAGAATACCTGGGACCAGTAAATTAACCTTATCTCCCTACTGCCTCCACCAACTATTAACAGAGTCTTGTTCTCTTCCCCCCCCATCCCCGCAAAGGATTTCTTTATTGAGCTCTATTTTCTCATTTTCTTCTTAAGAAACTCCAAAATAATTAGTTTCTCTAAATCTTTCCTCCACAGTAAAATTCAATTTGTCCTTTATACATCTTTGCACAGACCAAATATCCCCAGACTTTCCTTTCTTCTCTTCCCACAGCTTTACTTCACCAAAAATGAGGAAAGATGAAGCAGTATGCAGTGGTTAAAAGCAATTATCATAAAAAAAAGCAAGTGTTGCTTACCAACAACAAGCAAGTGCAATGATAATGGAGAAGCTTCCAATAATTTAGATTATTTTCATATTTGCCACTGAGCAGTATTTTGCCCAGTAGAAATCATTTGAACACCAGGCAACAGACAACACTAATGATTCAGTTAACATTATCATAGATTGAGTTTATAAAAATAAAAGAACAACAAAGACACCACACTTAAGTCAAATACTCCACACAGCACTAAGTCTCCTGAACTTCTGAAACACAAAGCACTCCCTTAATTATCAACTGGTGCCTGTCAAAAGCATCTTTCCCCATCTCTGCCACAGAATGAACACTTTTTCTGGAATAGCCTGCTTGATTTCAGGCCAGCTCCGTCTGCCTCCTCCTTGCTGCACAGAAGCGGGACAGCTGGCAAGCCCACCGCCCAGCTGGACCCACTGAACACTGCTCCTCACTCCTGTGCTAGAACAAAAACCAAAACAAAACCAAAGAGGAAAATAAGCGTAAGTTACACAGTAATTTAGAAGAGTTTTTTAAACATTTTTATTACAACATTTGTTTTGAATGCCTTGTAGAAATTCATCAGAAGCTGTTGACTTTCTTCAACCATGTCACAGTCGGAACAGGTACAGCTCCACACTCTGCCACAGCAGTACTTTTTCCTCACAGTAATCAGTTGGGTTTGGCAAGTAACGGTGAACTTGGCAAGATTCTTCATCCAGTCTTTTAGAAAACAAGCCTTAAAGAAAACTACTTTGATAAGCAGACAATAAATTACAGGCAAAGGTTTGACATGCACCAGAGGGCTAGATTACAGGAGGTCTTACTAGACTGTGCTCTTAATAAACTACCAGTGCGACAGCAATGAATGCAGATGAGGAAGACTACTTGCAATGGAACACAGTTTAAAATGCCAGGGTTACAACAGTTTTGAGGTCACCTGACAGGCTGATACAGTTGAAAATTCACACTTAGAGCACACAGGACAACAGGGCTGTGACGCCACGAGGGACTAAGCTGCCTGAACACTCGCAGAAAGGCTGGTGGGCTGGAACCAGGGACAGCGTGATTCCTACGGGCACGAACCAGGCACCGGATTGGGAAGTCGCACATTTAGTTGTACGTTCAGGCAACTAGTCTGACGTGAGTGGAGGAGAACAACTGGTATTTCTATGTGCAGAGGTAAAAGGAAAGCCTCCTACCACACTGCCCTCCTGGGAAAGGAACAGCAGCATCAGCAAACCTCACAGTTTGGGATCTATCACCAGCCCAGTGCAGGGCTGCCAGCCGTTCTGACCCCAATGGTTCCATTTGCCAGCTGTCCCCTAAGGAAACACGCAGAGCGCACCAGCACTTTGGTTATTTGCAACACACTATTACATACCTCACACTCAGCACAGGGGCAAAGTGTTCCGTGCCTTTGGCACATACAGGCTTTTCCACTGAGGTCAGGATCAGACCCATACTGCCTCCAATTCAGCTTTTACTTAACAACAAAAATAATCATTTTTTAGAAAGGACATGGTATTTCAGAATTTCTTTTTTTCTTTTCTGAGTTTTTAGGGGTATGCATGAAGATTTGGGTATCCTTGGCTTTGATGAAGTCAAAAATAGCACACTTTAAAAAACAGCTTAGAAGTCTGGCAGATATGTCGTAAATATAAGAATGTGCAAAAAGGCAACTTTTGTTTTTAACACTGCTGAGAAAAGGATTTAATTGAAAAAGTTGTCCACTCAGCTTCATTAAAGAAAAGTGCAGAAGCTGAGTCCATTTCTGGGAGGTTGGGACCTATCCAGTCTGATTCTCTTTGTGCTCACTAGAGCGTTCCTATGAGGTTGCTGTGATAATCAGCCCATTTTAATGGAACATGAAGCTTGCCAGGAAGTCAATGGCCACATTTGCATCCTTCAGCCATACAAAACATTCTCCCAAAGCCATGAATACCCTGTGAGTCAGGCATGTATTACTGTAGGTATTTCACAAATAAAACTATGAATCAGTGTATATATTATTTTCATGAAACGTATTAATAAGGAACACTTGAATATGTCTTCTTTCTTGAATTAGCTTGAAAAATTAACCTGTAACAAATTGTAGGATAACAAAGATCCATGGGATCACACATAAAATCAAAGGTGACTCCTCTGTCACAGCTCCCACTGCTACTAAGAATCCACCTTGGGAAAGATACTGACTTTGTTCCTGCTGATTTTTCTCTCTGCTTTACCCTTGGACTGCTTTGTCTGGATTAGCTCTTCAGGGGTATTTCCCAAAGGAGGCAGGAGTCGCTTCTTACTATTCCGGCTTTCCGAGAGCCACTGTGGAGGCAGCTCAAAGGGGCCAAACCCAAACTGCAGGGAATACCTGTCACTTGCCACGTCTGTGTCTGCGGGCGCAGCCGGGGCCACCTGAGCTGCAGAGTCTGCAGCCGTGCGCGGTATGAACTTGTGAACCACAGTCTGCTCTACCTCGAAGCTGGCCGTAGGAACGTCCTTCTGCTGAAGGTCACCCGAGCCAATGGATTTGGTTTCATTCTCCTCATCCTCTGTGGGCTTGAAGATCTGTTGCTGCCCGATGTGAAACATCTCCAGGAGCTGGCTCCCCGACCGCACACTGGCCTCCAGGTTGGCGTCTGCGGCGCCACCGGAGCTCACAACGTTTCTCCTGCTGTATCTTCGGTGCAGCTGCACTAAGGCGCCCACTAAGCACTTCCGGACAGACCTGTTAACAGTTAGAAACAACAGGGGGTTGGCCAGCAGAGAGACCTTGGGCAACCAAATGGCAGTGAGGAACAGGACGCCCGAAATGTCTGAAGCGTTGAGCACAGTGCGGTAAATCACCAGAGTCACATAGGGGATACTGCAGAAAATAAATATCATAACCATGGAAAGCAGCATGGCATGAAGCTCAGCTTCCCGCTGGGAGGCGTAAGGGATAGATATCGTATTCTGAGGGGTCCTTAAGGCAGCTATGATGACTTTTTTCTTCTGGCTAGCACTCAGTGCTCTGCGGATAAGAATCATAAAGAGAAATACCACAGCCACGGGCACAATCACAGTGGTGACGTTGTAGATGATGACATACACCAGGTGACCAAGGGAGTAACTCCAGGACTGGGAACAGGTAGACATGGCATAAATATCGGACACGTTGGTCACAGCAAACACCGGGATGCTGGCCACTACGGCATGGGCCCAGATGTAGATAACCACGTCGCGGGATTTTGCATCAGATATTTTTCTTTCCAGAGGGTATAAAACAGAGTAGTACCTGTGAAAAATAATCAGTTAATAAATAAGAAACAAAATACAACTGATATAATGAAAGGTTACAGTTTATGGTGAGCACAAACTCCCTAAGCAGGCTGCCAACTGAGTAGCTGTTTATGAAAGAGCAGAAACAAGTGCAGTGCTGTGCAGCTCTGCTTGCGGAAAAAGCCTCCACACCTCAGGGGCACATTAAGTGTCTACAGCTCTCTCTCTGTAATAGGGTCTGAGACAAATGAGCATTATCTTGCATCATATTGCTTGGTCTGAGCCAAGCATCATATTGCTTGGTCTGAGACAAATGAGCATTATCTTGAAAAATTCATCATTTCCTTACCTATGAAGAACACAAATTCACAAATCACTTTTTGAAAAAAAAAATGTTGGTCACAAGCAACATGTACCTGATCCCTGAAGTACAACTGGGCTTTGTCTTTCCACAAACTTGGGTGTGCAAAACCCTGAACAAAAGGATAGTCTGGACACTACACAGCCCGTGTGCATTAAGATTAATGTACATCTTTGACATGATCCAATTTCAGGCACTGGTTCATTGTCAAGTTTTGCTTATTAATGTGGAGTTTTAAGCTGGCAGCCCTTTCCTGAGAGACCTGTTCATCTACCCTTATCACAAGGGACAGCTGAAGGACAAGAGATACGGTGCTTCAGCGGCAACGCAGGCGTGCGTTACAGAGCAACACGGCACTTATCAAGACACTAATATGAGTAAAATACATACCACTATCAGCTGCAGTTTGCTTTTCTTTTACAGAGCTAATGTATTATCTGGTGAATCACGTGACCAGACTATCTAACAATAATTTTATCTAACATACATAAATCCAGCTGTATTAAATTGCAACCATTATCTGCCCTTAAAAATATCTAAATTACAGTCACTATCAACAAAATGAAAGCCGCGCACTTAGGTGAGATTCACTGACCTCAAATCACATAATAAGCTAAGATAATGGAATCCAAAAACTTATTCAGACCAAAGGGCCACTTATTTTAGATCAATTTTCTACATTCAAAATTTACCTGAATTAGGTTGGGTTGTGTTGCAATTTTTTTTTTTTTTAAATACAATCCAGATCTGAACATTTCCAGAGACTGTCTGCCCAGGCACCGGTAAATTCTCCTAAGAGGCAATGCCTTTCAGCTTTCAGAGTTAAAGATGGGCATTTTGGCTGTAGTTTGATATTGCCTAAGTTTCATTATTGAACAATGACTAATGACAAGAAGAAAAGATAAAAAATTCTCTGAAGATTAATCTATAAACTCAAAACCCCTTAGAAAAGGCCAGGGCAAAGTGAAAAATAAAGGTAATCAATGATAGAGAAGAGCATTCATTCCAACACATTTTAGAAAGGAACTGCACATTATGAGGAAAGTCCTGAAACAAGAGCCATTCATGTAATGGCATAACATAACACTAAACAGCATTAGCATTTACAAGACTAAAACGAAATAGCATCAAAAGAAGAAAAAAGGTAAATAAAAATCAGGGGTTATGAAACTGCTCACGTTTCATCTCATACCTGTCCAGAGCAATGGCCGGAAAACTAAGAATGGTTACTGAGCAGAAGACTTTGTGCAAAAACTTGGCAACCTTGCAGAAGAGCATCGTGTAGCTCCACCAGCAGCAGTGCGGGCTGGCGCTGAGGACGATGTCGAAAGGCACACAGAGCAGGCTGGCACAGAGCCCCGAGCACGCCAGGTTCCTCACGAAGCGGTTCGTCACCGACTTGAGCACCGACGGCCTGCAAGTCGACCACAGCACCATGATGTTGCCTGAGAGGGGAGAGGGTAACAAAAACAAAAACAATCAATCAAAAAAAATTGCTTGTATCTAGTAATGCAAGTAAAAAGTTTAATGCAGTCACTGATTTGAACCATCACACTGGCCAGACTAAAAAGTCCGTGTAGTAACTACGGACTTTATAAACCAGATAAATGAAAAACAGTTAGTCCCCAGCTCTCTCCTCCTCATAATGCAGTTAGAGGCTTCCAGGGGCAATATTTAAGTATAATATCCAAACCATATGTTCAGATGCTTCCACTGACTCACACATGAAATGATCCATCTTGAGCCAACATGCTCATATTTTAATGACCAGCTCATAATCTACTCATCCACGTTATGAAAATCATTCACTGCAAGTAAATATAAAGCTTCCAGGCAGGAGTGGTTTGATTTGACTCTGTGTCAGTGGATCACAGTCAACTTGTTCTGACTTTTATTTGCCATCCCAGCAGCAGATATAAGCCTCTAAAGCCTCAAAACTGCCTTTATTTTCCAGCCCAAGAGATTCTATGCATACATGACAAGATGCAGTTAAACAAACTGGACAGAAGGAGGGAAAAAGAGAACTCAGCAGGTGCCCACACTCGGTGCTTTGAGTGACTGAGCATTCATTTAAATGAGCGTGCAGCTCATACACTTCCAAGCAGGGTGTCCAACTGAAAGAGAAAACTGCCTCATATTTGAGCTAAACGTTTATCACCAATATCACAAAGGCAACGCAAAACCCATCCGCTTTTCTCAGGGGCTTCACAAGCACTTCTTTCTAAACCGTAAAGGCAGTAGAGGCAGTTTCAGAGAGCAGCACTGTCCCTTGCAGGAGGGATCTGGCAAGGACCTGGAAGCAGGAGTACTTCTTAGAGCCGGGCCCAGCGGCCAGCAGGAGCCTCCTTGCTAACAGAGTGGGGTCTCCAGCAGAGCACACGTCTTTCCGTGACACCCACCCCGAGACAAATCGACTCCAATGCAATTCACTGCGTCTCCTCGCACAGGGCGCTAAGCCAGACACAGTAGTTAAATCATCCAACTAGACGGCAGATCCAGACACAATAAAAAAGCTCGGTGCGCCAGACTGATTAGATTACGTTCAAATTTTGATACTGAAGAAATCCTGCAATCACTCTTCATTATCCAGTTCCTTGTGCCCTGGGCTAAAACTGCTTCCAGGGATACCTACTGCCTCCTGGACAGGCTTAGTTATGGCCAGCAGAAATCCTGATTCCAGGCCAATTTCTTTTGTGTGTTTTTTTTTTTCTCCCCCTCCAGGATAACAACGTAGGCAACAAGGGCAAAACAGCCCCTCGAGCTGCTGCTGGTGACATTGGAAAGGAGCCGGAGCTGCCCCGCGACTCTGTCGACGCTACTGCACTCCAGCTACCCGTCTTCTTTCCCGCCAATAAAAACCTCAGGTTTTTATTTGCTGGTCAGCGTTTCCCTATAGCTGCTCAGAAACCAAAGCACCACCAATAAAATGTTCCCGTTCAGGGGGCCAAAGGAACAGGTGCCTACAAAGAAACACCAGAAGGTCAAGTTAACTTCTTCATAAAGCAGGATCCCTCACGCACCATTTCAGTGAAACTGTGCAGTATTAACTGTAAAATTTACCTCCCAGATACATTGAATTACTGCAGTCCTATAGCGTGTAATTCAGGAGTTAACTTAAAAAACGTAATGTATCTTACTATGCACATTCCTTTTTGGTGACTGACAAAATATTGAAGTATTTATAATCTGATGTATTTTAAAGAATAGAATCATCATCCAGTTTTGGCAGGTGCTTTGAGTTTGGTAATATATTCAACAAGCAGTATCCAGTCAGATGGCTTTAAAGCTTCTTAAATTGCTAAGAGATATTCAGTGAAACCATTTGCTTTAGAAAACTCCAATCTTCCATTATTTAATGTACTTCTCACATAGTAATAATATATTATTACAGGGTTGTGCAGTAGGGGAGAAGATGATGATTTTATTTTTAAATTTAAATCTTTTATGTAGTTTGTATTGCACTGATTTGTAACTTTATTTTTAAAGCTAATTTCACATCAGTAAGAATGAATATAAAGAATGGATGAAAAAACAAATCAGAGAGTAAGTATTATTAAGAATAAAATATAAAAACCTACTAGGCTACTTTTCAGGATCTTACAGAGAAGCCTGGATCAAGAGTCAAGATTTACAACCATGAAGTCACTTTTACAACCATACCCAGGGAATGCCAACAGGGAACAGAATTAATGCTGGTGTTGGCTGATCGTGGATGTGGAAGGAATAAAACAGAAAAGATGCCAACGCTGGTGTCAGTGAAGACCCTGATTCTGCTGGTGCCTTTGACGCCAACAGTGCCCTCCGTGCAGCTGAGGGGCAGCCAGGGCCAGCCCCTTGGAGAAGAGCCCACCAGAACCTCCGCACACTGTCGAGTACAAGCTCAAGGGAAAAGCTGCTCCTCACCTTTCAGCAGCTGCTTATGGCCGTGGGGGAGGATTGCCAGGCAACAAGGTGATTTCACAGGCATTAAAGCAACTGCACTCTGAATCTTCCCGCAGTTTGTAGAGCCACTTTTCAGCTCCACGTGCACTGCTCACTGGCTCCTGAACGCGGGACAGGCACGAGGGTTACGGCTGCTCCAGCCGCTTCTCGCCCCAGCGGCGGGAAATGGAGCCATCTCCTGCCCTGAGCTATTTTCCGAGATGCATCTGCATGATGACCAGACTGAGGCTACGTGACCTTGCACCCAGATTTCACGTACTTCATCACAGGAGTGTACACATGAGCCAGGAGACACCGAGGGAAGAGTCAGAGGGAACATGGAGCGGTCAACACAGCCCCTCACTGCTCCCTGCAAGCCAACACTGCCCAGGACAAGAGCATCTCCTATAAATGATTGCACGTGACATAGTGTATATCCCCCACAGGTTGCACAGCTTTCAGACGGCTGGAAGAAAAAGACAAGAGGTTTCTCATTTACAAAATAAAAACTGTGCCTTTGCTCTCCTCGGGGAATGAGTCACATCTACATAAAAGCCTCACTCCATCAGACATTAATTGGCAGCCTGGTCTCTCCACAGCCTGAAGGAAGAGGGAAGTGGCACCTTGCTGTGCCCCCCAAATCTACCAGGTCACAAAGAGTGAAGTGAAAGTATTTGTGTATTACATACTTCTTATTCTACTGCATTTAGATGAAAAGAACTGTTGTCCCCATTTTTTTGATTCAGAAACATCACTGCCAACCAGGCACACAGTAAACAAAGCTGCCTAGAAATACATCGAGAAAGTAAAGGCAAGAAAGGTCTGACGACAGCCTCCAAGCCCCTGTAGTGCTTCAAGTTCCTTGTGTCTGCAACAGGTAACATTCTCTTAACATCAAATGCTAGAAGTATATTGTCTTAATTTGAAACAATAAATAAATATTTTTGCTCCTCTTCCAATTTGTACTGTGCTCAGACTGCACTGCCAGACACACAGTATTGACTCAGGCAATAACAGCTGAGGCAGTTTGGAAATAACAACTCTCAGCAGTAACAAGCTACACAAAAGACTCTGCACACCCCCTTTACGAGCAGAAGGATAATCTCTATAGAAACCAAAGGTTGTTATCTAAAATCAATTAATATGCATTGATCTCCCCATCAATTTTTTTTGTTTGTCAATTTATTCACAAATCATGGGCTCATAAGATCCACTTCATTATCTGAGTATAACGTGCAGGTTATACTTTTCTTAACATCAATCAGCACATAATTGAACCAAAACAGGGGCCACACACTGCAGTAAAGCCAAGAGGTGGCACAGAGGGCTTTCTCAGCTGCTGATTCCCCACTGCACTCGCAGGAGGTTTCTCAGCATCCAGCTGCCCATCCCAGCAGAGAGAGACGGAGCTCCCAGGGAGCATGCCCTGTGCCCAGGCTTCATGCACCAGAATGGAGGAAGAACTGGAAGCTCTCTTTATAGGAAAAGAATCTAGGACGGTATGGAAAAGGTAGGGCACTGGGCTTTGTCCTTGAAAGCCTTTCATTAGGAAAAAAACAATAATTATAGGTTCTGTCAACATGTTCAACAGGAAAATGTTATCCTGTTGCAACACCAAGCCACCTACCTTCCCCCGCCTCAAGCACTTTTTACCTTTTCTGAGTTGATTTGAGTAACACATTTTCTGCAGTAGTTGTTCTGTAGAAGGAGAAAGAAAAAAAAAAAAAAAAAAAAAAAAAAAAAAAAAAGCGCCTTGCTCAAAAGGCAGTTTATTGGAAGCAACTTTGGCAAGCTCTGGTAGGAGGCTTTTATGCCGACACATTGGCTAGCCCTTCTAACATACACACTTTCTGCTTGTCTGTCTCCAGAGAGAGCAGCAATGCAAGAGGACTCATAGCGACTCATATAGCATTATTTTAAATGTATTATTTTATAATTTTTTATATATTCTAACTTAAAAAATAGACCAAGTGAATTACCTTTATAAGTTGTTAGTTCCAAACAAAACAATCTCTACCTTTTCTGACATTTCAGCCCAGAACTTCAAAATCTGTGCTAAAATTACTAGTGCACCTCTGTTAGAAGACCCGATTCACCCTGCTATTTCACCACGTTTCTTGCACTTTTTGATTTGCACAAACATGCAACAAAACCTTTCACAGCCAAGATAAAGCATCTGCAGCACTGAGAACTAATGTGGAAGGTCTACAATATGCTGAAGTATTTTTTCCTTTCGTAAATCAGCTGGCCTCCATAATTTTAGAAAAACTTTTCTTACTCTTTCTTGGAATTCTCATTCCCACATAACCCTTGGGATAGAGGTGAAATCTGTGTTCACATGCATGACTTAGCTGGCACTTTCAATGGAAAATCAGCATACAATGACCAGCACAAGACACTTCTATTCTCTCTTTTTTAGAAAGTAAAATAATGTAGTGTTATTTAAAGAAAGCAGCATTCATGAAGTCAAGCAGTGTTACACTTCCTCAGTGTACAGGCTCTCACCAGAGAACCTTTTTTCCTC